TAACAACCACCCATTACATAATTATTATCTAAACATATAATAAAAATTAATATGATAAAATAAATAAATTAATTAATGTATAAAAGATTTATCAATTTTACATAATTTTATCTTTGGTTGGTAAAAATAATTTTTAAAAATTCAAAAATATTTTTTTGACATATATTTTTGTCAAATTCGTTTATATTTTATCAAATTAACGATTTTGCCCTTGAAATTGGACAATAATATCCTTAATTATCCTTATTTAAAACAAGATTCAAAATTCAAGATCAAATATATCACAATTAAAAAATCAAATATCAAAATAACACAAATTCTAAACTATAGAAACTATTAATATAAGTCACACTAAATTTTATTTTTTCCTACCTAGTCTTAACCCGCTTTTATCTCCATTTATTTCACTCATGTACTTCTCACCTTACATCCTTTAATTTTTGTTGATATTTATATTTCTAAAATTATAAGATTAACCCATCTTTGTCCCACCCTCGCCACCAACTTAAACTATCCGACCCTAATATGATACGATACAGAGATGGAGGATTACAAACCCGGGCCATTCTCACTAGAACTTAATTATAGAACTGTTGTGTATACAAAGATGACATTGCTCATGTGTGTGTGTGTCTCTCTCTCTCTCTCTCTCCCCTCCTATTTCGACTGATATTCTCATCTTGAGGTCCTTTGCATAGAAATGCAATACAGGACAAGTTACATGGTAATCCATATCTATTATCTAATATATATTTTTTAAAGGAATTAAAATGAAGCAGATGGGCCTAACCTGACACAAACTGGTGAATCCCTAGCTCTGTCATGAGACATACAGTGCATTGTAGATGAGACAAAATTGACGGTAACGATTGAGTTCAGGTGAGGGACCCAGCTATTATTCCACCCATTTGAAAGGTGATGATGATGATGACAGTCACATGACCTCCACATTCACACCAAAATATCTTTCTTTCGTTTAAAAAAAATAAAAAGAAATTAATTTGATAAAAATAAATATATTAGAGAAATTATAATTTTTTCTTTCAAGATTTGACCTTTATAATAAAATAAATTTGAGTTTTTTTATTTTATTAATTTAAAATTTAAATTCTTGATTTATTTTCAATCTACACTATTTGTCTATTTTTATTAAATAAAATTGATTAAAAAAATGGTATTTTCATAATCAAATTTAATAAAATATTATATTTTAAACATTTTATATATACTTATATTGTGTTTAATGAGTAAATTTTTTTTTGGGGTCAGTTTTATCTAACGAAAATAAACTAATAGTTTAAATTAAAAATAAATAAAAATTAAAATTTGAATTAATAAAAAATTTATTTTGTTAAAAGGGTTGAAGTTTAGGATTTTTTCCAAATATATTTGTCTCCCAAAAAGAATCATAAGAAAATAATGAATGTTTTTTTTTTTTTATTTTATCAAAAAATAAAGTTTAAATACTAATATTTTTGCCATAATTATTGTGATTTTCTTTCATTATGATAAAAATGACCAAAACTCATGTAAATGGTGAATGGGTAATAAATAATAAAATGAATAAATATTTTAGTTGAGAAGTGATGACAATGTCGTTTCTTTTGTACAACTAATGAATTACTAATAAAAAATAATTTAATTATTATGTAAATTAAAATCTCGAAAAAAATTAGTGTTTTTATGTCAAAAGTATGAGACTAACACTACAAGAAAAAAGGGTTTTTACGGCGCGCAATGCATGTCGTAAAAACCTTTTTACGACGTGTAGGCGCATATTATGACTAGTCATGGAAAGTCATTCACTTTCAACGGCATGCTTTATACGCCGTTAAAAACTATTTAACGACAGAGTTTGTGCGTCGTTGTTACTTTTTCTACGACATGGTATAGTACGCCGTTAAAAATTATTTCACGGCAAATTTTGTGCGTCGTTGTTACTTTTTCCACGACTATATTTGCATGCCGTTAATTGGAATGCGCGCCGTAAAATATATAATACAACGACTTGCTCAGCCTGTCGTAGATAAGTAGAACATACCACGATGTACATGGAATGCTGTAGAATATTTCATAAAATAACCTAATTTGCTTGCCCCAAAATGTGTATTTTTTTTTTAATTTTTTTTTATTTTTAATTTTTGGGTTAAGCCAAAAGTGTGTTTTTTTGGTGCAGCCAAAAATAAATAAATAAATTAGATCCAAAGTTGTAGAACAAATATGCCCCAAGTAGGAGACGTTATCCCTAAGGCTCGTTTGTTTTCAAAGGTAGAATGGAAAAGATTTATAGTGAGGGGATTCATAGCGAGAGGATTAAGTAAAATTGTGTTTGTTTTAATGACAGTTGTTAGTGTAGGAATTATTAAATTATTTTTATATAAAATAATAAAACAAATAAAAAAATATAAAAAATTAAACATTAACATTAATATTTTAAAAAAAATTTCCAATATATAAAAAATAAAAAAAATAAAAAAATTCTAATCCCCTCACTATTTTTCTAATACCATCTCCACTTCTTCTATTTCAATCCCCCTTTCAACCTCTATCTATATCACATCTTCCATCATAATCTCCTCTTCAACTCTACAAACAAACACAACACTATATAACCTCACCTCCATCCTAATCTCCTCCCATCTATTTAACCCCAAAACAAACGGGGCCTAAGTGTTTAGCCGAGCAGATGAGGCCTGGACTTGGGGTTTGTTCTATTCAAGACCTCATGTTCGACTCCCTTTGCCAGCAACACTTTTGAGGTCACGAATTGCAGAAAATAACATTGTTTCAAAATGCTTATTCGGCTTGTTGGGCTGAATACACTGGAAAGACAGGCCACATAGATAATTTGTGCCCAAGTATCATTTTATTTATGAATATGACTCAAAAGTTTAAGGCCAAATTGTTGGTAATAATTCACATAATGGCTTCATTTGGGAAGAAGGATTGGGTTGGATTTGGAATTATTTTACCTACAAAAAGATAAAATAGGTTTTTTAGTTCAATAAGACAAAATATTACATCCAACTCATACTCATTATATTTTTTCTCTCACAAAAAGTTAAAAAAGTCAAGCTAAAATAGACAAAAAGTTAAAAAGTTAACCTACTTTCCAAACGAACCCTAGGTGATTATATGTGTTTATATCAGACGTGTTTAATTTGTTTAATTTATTACATCGTATGATTCGTATCATTTATAAAAAAATTTAAGTAAGACGAGTGAAAGTCACTTGAATCTTCATTACGAGACAAGATTAGTCTCACTTTATTCATTTCAAACTACATATCAATTAATGACGCTAATCGATATTTATTGCTATCCTATTTCTATGCCTTGAAAAGGTGAAAATTCATATAATTTGTAAAAGCCTTTATTTCGAACTCACATAATTGTTGTGTCAGGTATGCGACACTGGCTATGTGGTCGAGTGGCTGAACTTATCAAGTACTCTTGAAGTATTTTCAGTAGAAAAAAGTATTCATTACCCATGGGCACCTCGCGGCTCATGCCACGTTCACTCACCAAATGTCTTGTTCATCAATCACAATCTATTTGAAGCACCACCTGGCTATGCCTTGTAAGCACGGAATAATTTGGGATTATTACCAGTCTATTTGTGTATGTTAAATTGTTAGGCCATCTCTAACGGTTCACCAAATTTTACATCAAATTTGAAATTTGGTGAAAAAATTATTTTTTGAAATTTTAATAATTTCAGTAAATTGGTATTAAATTGAGAAAACATCAAAGGTTTTACCAAACTGAAGACGACTTGCTCCTTTCACCAATTCACTGTGCATAACCGTTAAAGTAGAAATTTGTGAAAATTTTACACTAAGTGGTCGACCACCAGGTGGACCAACCAGTGCCCAGCTCATGCAAAAATTGTGTTCGATTCTGGTTCAAATGGTTCAAATTACTGGTTCAAAACGGTTCAAAAAAAATTTATAAAAAAAAAAAATTGGCCTTACTGGTCGACTGGCCGATCAACCAACCGGTCGACCACTTCCCTTTTGATGCATGATTGGAGCAAACCATATCACATTGAGAAAATTATTTTTTTATTACTCAAATTTAGTAAAAATTTTAGTTCATTGTTGGAGATGCTCTTGAGAAGTGTGCTGGTTTTTTTTATGATCCTATGGACACTTTGGCTAGGTTTGACATAACCTATATAATCCATCTTTTTATCTTTTTTTCATCACATCACATCTCTATTTTTTTATACATCTTTTCGTAAAAAGATAAAAAATATACTTTTTTAAGACACTCCAAACCAACCCTTTAAATCATTCGTTGAAGTATTAGGTTAGTATACTTACTACTACTGTAGTCAGTGATTTAGCTAGGATGAGAGAGAGAGAGAGAGAGAGAGACATGGTCAGGAAGAGAGAAGAACCACGAGTGATTTTTTTTTTAATTGTTACAAATTATATTGAAGTTAGCTTTATTTTTTTTAGTACACATATGCCTTTTTGTTTTCAGAAATAGAATAGAGGGGATTAATAGTGAGAGGATTGTTAATGAGGGGATTGATAGTGAGGAATTGTTAAATTATTTTTATATAAAATAATAAAAATAAATAAAAAAATATAAAAAATTAAACATTATATTTAAAAAAAATTCCCAATATATAAAAAATAAAAAAAATAAAAAAATTTCTAATCCACTCATTATTTTTCTAATACCATCTCTACCTCCTCCTTACCAATCCTCCTTCCTCTTCCTCACTAATACCAAGGGATTACTAATTCCCTCCCCATCTCTCAAAATAAACACCCCATTATCAATTTTCTCCTCACTACCAAACCTAATTCCCTCTCTATAATCCCAAACAAACAGGCCATAACATTTCTATCGTAGCTCACACACAAAGTAAACAAATTTTAACATGTAAAATTAGACCTCACTTTTATTACTTTTTACGAGTCGACACATAGTAGCACACATAATTGCAGATGCTGGTAACCAAAAGATTTTGACATCTAGTGAGCTTACAGTTGTGAAGTTTAAACTGAACACCCTATAAAAATGGACCCAATTTGAGAAGAAAAATAAAAAGTAAGTTGAAACATTGTAGAAGCTATCAAAATTAAGGTAGGCAAAAGCACATTTAATGTGAGCTCTACCACCATGGAACAGCGACGGGATGAGCCTGAATCTGAGTCCGAGTTCAATTTAAGGGAATGGGGCGTGAAAGCTAGAATGGTCAGCCGCGAAAACACGAGCTCCAGAAGGTTTTCAGCTTCGAACATTAGAAGTTTCAGAGAGTCTTTCAGATCAAACATAACCAATATATCTAGCACTGCTTCTTCTCCTGGCTACACCTTTAGAGGTACCTTCATCTCTCTCTCTCCCTGGCTTCTAACGGATGAGGGGTCACTTGTTTAAGGGTGAATTATTGTCACGCATTGATCGCCCCTTACCACTTTTTTTTCCCCTTAAAAAAAGAAAAAAGAGAAAAGTTTCATACAATTCTCCATCTTCTTTTCAGAAGAGATCGACCCGTCAACATACTCATTCACAACTGCTCTTAAAGGTAAGCTTTGATCAACTTCGACATGATGATGATGGTCACGAAGACATAGATTTGATTGATTTTTAGCTTAGTTAATCTAAGAACTAGTGTTGGGTGGGTTGTTATCAATGCAGCATTGCAGGCGAGATCAGGGAATAGCTGGGAGTGGTTAACATTATCATCACCGGATGGGTTGGCTTTGAATTCAAAGTGGAATGAAGCAGAGAAATATATATGCAACCCAGTTTCAGGAGAAGTCCCAACACAGTGTTTGTCTTCTAAAACACTTATTAATGGTGGGGGTGGAAGGTCCTATCGCAACTTAGCTGCTTCTGGCAGAATTACAATGTCTGCTCCTCTTGTTTACACTACTTCTTCTCACTCTAGGCTACTCCCCTCAAATCCTAATTCTCTCACTTCACTTCAAAATCAACTCCACTTCCCACTTCAAGGTCCCAATCTCTCTCTCTCTCTCTATCTCTAATATGTCACTAGTATTATTTTTTTATTTTGTATAGTTTGTTTTGAGCAAATTGGATTAGTAGTTATTATACTTTGTCCTTTTGTCATTTGATTCTTATATTTTCAATTAACTCAAATTTTTTGGTTATTAATTTTAAATTTTATAGCAATTTGGTTTAATTAATAAATTTGATTGGGTTTTTGATCAAAAATTATCATAGGTAGTTGAGATTAATACATTGAGTTAAGCAAATTTATAATTTTATTCTAAAAAAAAAAAAAGTAGGACCCCTGCTACTTATTTGCTTATGCTTTATGAGAAAGGAAAATTCTATTCGTACATAAATTTTATAAAAAAAACTTAACAAGTGACATTGCTGTTATTGTAAATAAATTTATTTTTAATAATATTTTGTTTTGAAATAAAAAGTACATGATAAGTCACGTTATTACGTATAAATTTTTTATTTGTATAGTAGTCGATAATAAAATGCTAACAGTTGTAATTGGACTAAGGCCTTGTTTGGGAACAGTCTATTTTAATAATTTTTTTTATTTTTTAGTTTATAATGACTTTTTGATTTTTTATGAAAAGATGTGATTTTTTATGAAAAGATGTGTAAAAAGTAAAGAGAAAATTAAATCTTTGACTTTGTGAGATAGGTTATAGGTTTTTTGAATTTTTTTAATAATTTTTTGATTTTTAGACTAAAAGTGTTACATGCCAAGCGAGATTTAAATTGAGATAAAATTATAAATTTGTGATCAAAATTAAATTAAAATTATAGAGAGCATTGTGGAGTGATTTGTTTTGTTATTGTTTTTGTTTTGGGTTTTGGATATGTCTTTGGTTGCAGAGAGGAAAGAAGTGGGGGGTAGTATGACCAGAGATGTGGGAACTCAAAGCACACCACCACCTGAGCTCAGTTCAAGAAGTAGTAGTAGTCCTCCTCCTCTTACTAGCCCTGCTGCTTCCACTCCAATTCAAGAAAGATTCATAAAAAGAGCTGAGCCAGAAGAAGTTGATGATTCACCTCTCACTGCTACTACTTCCAATCTCAAGTTTCTTGAAAAGGTATCTGCATATTCCTCAAGATTTTTCAATGATTTTATTTATTTATTAATTTTTATGACTTACAACAAGAACATATAGAATCCACTATGGATGATTTAGTTCAAAAATAAGTTTTTAAGTGTCTCAAACTAATTGCGCAGCCAACTGAACTCTTCTGTTTGGTTGTGCATTTCTGTTTTGGATTTTCTTCTTTTCTATTATTTTTTTATTTTTTAGATTTGGCTGAAAAGTTTTTTTTAAAAACAAATGATATAATATTGGAAAAAAGATCATTAAAGATAAAAAATAAGAAAATAAAAATTCAAGAAAAAAACTGTCCTTTCCTTTTTATTTTCAGTTTTTTTAATTTTTTTTATTTTCAGTTTTCCTAAATATTTATTTATCGTGTTGACAAAATTGTCTCATAATTTTAATTCCTCGAATACCCCTTGCGAACTATATAACTATATATATATTTACTTCTTTTTTTTTTAGAGCAATGATTGGTAGTCACAAATTCTGTAGCTCAAATGGTCCGAAAATGTCAAAACGACGTCGTTTTGGGTACAAAACAACTCTAAAAATGTCAAAACGACGTCGTTTTGGGTACAAAACAATTCTGAAAATGTCAAAACAACGTCGTTTTGACATTTTCAGGCTATTTGAGTCACAGAATTTGTGGCCACCAAACATTATTTTTTTTTTTTAATTAGTTATAAAAAGGTTACAATTGTAAATTTTTAGAAAACCAATAGTGGAATTGCTCACACACACTGTTCTTTCACCCATTAGGTGCACACACTGTTCGTATATACATAGCAAATTGTTTCTCAAAATATTTTTTTATTTTTTTTCCTTTTGTTTAAATGACCAACTTTTAATAGCAAATTGTTTCTCAAAATATTTTTTTATTTTTTTTCCTTTTGTTTAAATGACCAACTTTTATTTTGAAAAACACAAAAATGGAAAATAAAATAAAATAAATAGAGATAATGATATGATAAGTTATAGTGACTTTTTACTTTTAAACTAAGATAACCTGGGAGAATAACATATCAGTGGCTATTTTAATTTTTTTTAGGTTAATAATAAATTTTATAAATTTTAATTATTAAATATATAAACTTTTTGAGTAAATTAGAATTCCTGAAATTTAATTAAAATACGAATCGCCCAATGTGATTTTAGAAATTACATTTCACTCCCTGAGATTTTTAATTTCTTAACAATTCGTTCCTTTAATTAATAAATTATTAAATCAATTAACAGTTTTTAATGATATTAGAAATATGTTTTAATTAATAATTTATATAATTTTGTTATTGTATAGGAGAGCAATATGAATTTCTTTTTTTAGTTAATTTTGTTAAATGAAAAATTCTAACAAGTATTTGTAATTTTTTAAGCCTCCGTTTGGGAAGTGGGTTAGCTTTTTGGCTTTTTGGCTTTTTGGCTATTTTAGCCTAGGCTATTTTAGCCTGGTTTGGGAAGGACTTTTTGGCTTTTTGGCTTTTTTAGTTTTTTTTGTGAGAGAGGATTGTAATGATTATGGGTTGGATTTGATGTTTTGTTTTTTGTGGCTATTTAATTAATAAATTATTAAATCAATTAACAGTTTTTAATGATATTAGAAATATGTTTTAATTAATAATTTATATAATTTTGTTATTGTATAGGAGAGCAATATGAATTTCTTTTTTTAGTTAATTTTGTTAAATGAAAAATTCTAACAAGTATTTGTAATTTTTTAAATTACAAAAAATAATCTGTATTTTAACTAAATTTTAGGAAATGTATTTATAATTTACCTAATTTTTTTTATTTGTTAGTTATTTTTAGAAAGTACAACTTATTGAATAATTTAGAACTCTAAATATTGAGTTCTACATCTACCACTAGTGAGGTGAAAATAATAATAATAAAAAAAAAAACAACACAGACTGTGACAATGAATGAGATTCACTGTTACATCACTAGCAACAATCCTAATTAGAGGTCTCCAGCTTTATTGTTTCTTCAAATAATTTGTTCCCAAACATCCCCTCAATCTATGCTGATGACACGCATGCATGTGATGTGATGTACCTTAAATTACATGTACCTCCCATCAGTAAAGTTGTTTTATCCTTAATGGAAAAATATTTGGTGGCCCGAATTTTGTGACTCGAATGTGTTAAACCGATATTGTTTTACACTTTAAAACAACGTTATTTTTGATATTTCAAGCTATTCGAGCTATCTTTTTTTGGACCACCTATCATTGTTGTTTTGAATATTCATTTAGTAATATTGGAGTCTTTTAAGAAGCTTGTAAAAAGTCACTTCTAGTTTTTTACTTATTTTAGGTGACATCATTTCTCATATAATTTATCTATCAAAAGATAAAACAAGTTAAAAAAATTAAAAATTTAATTTTTTACAAACTTTTCAAAACACTCCATTATGAATTTAAGTTTAATTATTTAAAATTATTATCTTATAATTCAAATTTATTTTATATATAAATCTTATATTACTATATAAATTTAATTTTTATCGCATAATTACTTATTAAAAAAAATTGGTGTATAAATATGATCGATGGCCATTGTTACTTGTTTTTTGTCTTTAGAGCAAATGCATATGCTCTCGTATAAATGTTAAACAACTCAAAATATTTATTAAAATTTTTATTAAATATTTTACGTGAGTGCAAGATTCACATAGTGCGAAAGTTTCACATCTATATAATATTTGATAAAACTTTTAAAATCTCAAATATTACTTTATGCTCTCGTACTTGTCTTTTTGTTTCAGAACAGCTCTGTCCATTTTTTTTATTTTTTATTTTTTTATTTTTGTGAAAACCGAACTAAAGTAAAGCATTATTTTTTTAGAAGCATAGAAGTACGTATTTTTTGAAAGTTGAAAACAAAACTCACAACAACATATTCAGCACAAGAAGTTTGCATCTTTCCCCTCGAATTTGGATTCGCAGTGCTTTGACGTGTCACATAAAAAAATAAAAAAAAAGAGTAGAATCGAACGTTTAGATTTAAAATTAAGGACTGATTTGGCATGATATAAGAAAGTCAAAAAATTCATATTATTCACTTATTTTTCAGCAAGAAATTTGTTCCAAAAGAAAAAAAGAGTTCGAAACAGGTCAAGCTGTGTCGCCACTACAATTTCTCATAAAAGTACAAAACATAGCACAATGTAAGTCACACTTACATAATAAAAAATAAAAAATAAAAAAATGAAAGGAGAGAGAAAGTCAACGTAGCTACACTAGTCTGAGACATAAGGGTAATTTTATAATTTTGCTATTTTATACAATATTTTAATATATATTTTTTCGTAAAAAGAAAAAAAATTATCCTAAACAACCATAATTTTTTTTCTCTATTTTTTAGTTCAAAAAATTAAAAGGTGCACTTATTTAGAAGACCCTAAATAACCCGTAAATTTGACTTTGTTTTGATATCTTTATTTGAACTTGAATAAAAATACCAAAATAATGCTTGTTTTCATTTTTCAGAAAACACTTTTTAGAAAATTCTACTTTCTTATTTTCCGTTTTTTTTGTTTTTACCGATTTTTTTTAATATTTTAAGTAATTTTTTTTACTTTTTAGATACACCTAACATAGATACACCTAACATAAATACACATAAAAAGTAAAAAAAAATTGTAAAAAAAATCTTTTAAAAATTCACTAAATATCAAAAATACAAAAAAATAGAAGAATTCAATACATTTTTTTGTATTTTATGTATTTATTAATTTTTTAAAATATTTTTTCATAAATTTTTTACTTTTTGTACATCTAACTAAGGTGCATCTAAAAAAGTTTTAAAAAAATGTTTAAAATTTAAAAAATATTCATTAAAAACAAAAGAATACGAAAATTAAAAAACTCAATTTTTAAAAAATTTAATCTAAAAAATTCAAACCAAACACACGGATTATTTTTCACTGTATATATACATTTTTTAAAACACTACAGATTGTACTATTAAGAGTACACTACAAGGATCCAAACTCGTTTTCCATTCTCCTTATCATCAAACCCTTGCATGCATGAACTTCTTTTTGTGATCCTTTTTTTTGTTTTGTTTTGATTTTTGTCTGAGCCGAAGGATGCGAGAGCAGTTTCAATGGGTCTCTGGAGTCTTTTTAATGATGGTAAAAAATTAACTTTTAATTTTTTATTTATTTTGGATCACATTACCTCTCACATAATTTATTTATAAAAAAATAAAATAAACTAAAAAAAATCAAAAAAAGTTTTTATCAATTTTTCAAAACACCTCATGTGAGTTGTAATAGCTATACACTATGACCCCGTTTGTTTTGGGAGATAGAATGGAAGGGATTGATAATGAGGGGATTATTAATAAGGGGATTGATAGTGAGGGGATTAATAGTGAGGGGATTGATAGTGATGGGATTAATAATGAGGAATTGTTAAATTATTTTTATATAAAATAATAAAAAAATATAAAAAATTAAACATTATATTTAAAAAAAATTCCCAATATATAAAAAATAAAAAAATTTCTAATCCCCTCACTATTTTCTAATATCATCTCTGCCTCTTCCTTATCAATCTCCCTTCCAAGGGTATTATCAATACCAAGGGACTAATAGTCCCAAGGCTTTCTTTGCAAACAAACAGAGACTTTAGTAATACCTTAAGGGCATGTTTGATTGGAAGGATTAAAGTATGGGATTAGGATTATTAATCCGTGGGCCCAACCATCCTATGTATAAAAAATTAAACATTATATTTAAAAAAAATTCCCAATATATAAAAAATAAAAAAATTTCTAATCCCCTCACTATTTTCTAATATCATCTCTGCCTCTTCCTTACCAATTCCCCTTCTAAGGGTATTAGCAATACCAAGGGACTAATAGTCCCAAGGCTTTCTCTGCAAACAAACAGAGACTTTAGTAATACCTTGGTATTACTAGTCCCAATACCCTTCTTATAGTCCAAAACAAACAGGGCCTATAACAGTTGAGTGCTCCAATGAGGTTGTCTTATCAAATTTTGACATTGCTATCAATGGCTAGCTTTATTTTATAAAGATTCAATAATAATTGGAAAAATAAGATGATGATTGTGTCAAAAAAATGATAAAATTATTGGAGGGAGGTTGCCAAATTTTAGTAATTTTGTATGGTAGTATATCCAAATTTGAAAATGACATGTCAAATTCAACATTTACACTATGTTTGGTTGATAGATTTGAGATGAGATTTAGAAAAAAGAAAAAGAAAAAATGTGTGTATAAACTATTCACTTAATTTCTCATATCTTTTTCCTTTTTTTTTTTCATATCTTTTTCTAAATCTCTTAACTAAATACAACGTTAGTATAGAATGCTTTAAACTATTGTTGACAAATGTTAAAATAATTATACTTTTGTTTTTCTTAAACTTTTAAATTTTTTTGGGTCAAATTTTGTACCTTTTGTCTTTTTAAACTAGAAAGCTCTTTAAAAAAAAAAAAAAGGAAATAAAAAAGATAGACCAAATTTGAAATTTTCACTATAAAAAAATAAAATAAAATAAAAAGTGTTAAAAAAGCAATCATCGCCAAGGCCCTCTTGAGTGAAAAAAATTAGTAAAGTGCTGGTTTGGTTATTATTCTAGGTTAAAAAATTTATAAAATCACAAAAATCACAAAAGGACAAAAAAAAAAATTGTGATTCCAAAGTCAAAAAATGCAAATTAAAAAACCAAACAACCAAAAAAATTTTAGGCTAAAATAATAAAATTAACTAAAAAAATCATTTCCAAACGAGCCCTAAGTAATTCTTCAATTTTTTTTTTCTTTCTTTGCGTTAAATATATATATATATATATATATATTACAAACAAACCATCCAAAGCAAGAGGGTACAAAACAAAAGAAAAGGGTATAGTTCCAGGCAGTACAAGACAGGACATGCAATTTGCGTATTGCAATAATTCACTAGACTTTCATTATAGCAATTTGGCATCATGTCTCTGTAGTTACTACATCATGTATAATTAGTACATCTTTATACTTTATTTATTGAAATAATTACTAACTTTTAAATTTGTTAAAAAGTTGACAAAAAATTAATAATATATTTATTATAATCGAGCAATTATTTTAGTGAATGTCACACACTGCACTATAATTTTTACTTAGAATTGATTGATCCGTAGAATGTATCTCTCAATCTTATTTACATGCAACATCGAATCACATGTCTCAAATAATGTCGGTTCTCATCCATAATCACATACTTTGATTTTTTAATTAATTTCAATTTTAATTTTAAAATTGTAGATTATGGGTCATAAGTGATATTAATGGGTGTTTTGGAAACAAAGTAAAAAGTTAGTTTTTAATTTTTTACCTATTTTAAGTCACATCACTTTTTACAATTTTTACTCACAAAAAAATAAAATAAGTTAAAAAGTCAAAAAATTAAATTTTTACCAACTTTTCAAAACACCTTTATAACATAGGAGACTTGATTTTAAAAAATTTTCTCTTTAAAATTTCGAGAGTCGCTAATCTCCCCAATCCATAACAGTTGGCTGGATTGTGCAGCTTAGCCTCAAAATTCCATCTTAGATTTTACTTTTATGATTTGAATCATTTGTTTTATAAAATTTTATATATAAATTATACATAAAAAAAAAATTAAATTACTTTGATAATTATGAACACACTATTCACTCTAGAAAACTTGTCCGGTTATCCTTTCAAAACTCAGCATAAATGTGGTGAGTACTTATTTCAACCAATAAAACTCAACACAAGTTGGACATCACATGAATTTGCTCGGGGGTTATTATACAATTTTCTTCTTAAATAGAGAGATAGGCCTTGTTTGGCAAGAGATTCTCAGCATAAATGTGGTGAGTACTTATTTCAACCAATAAAACTCAACACAAGTTGGACATCACATGAATTTGCTCGGGGGTTATTATACAATTTTCTTCTTAAATAGAGAGATAGGCCTTGTTTGGCAAGAGATTTTTTGGGCTTATTTTGCTAAAATTCACCAAAAAATAGATTAAAATAATTAATAAAACAAAATATCACATCAAATTTGTAATTATTTTGCTTTTTTTTTCACAAACATTACATCTAATTATAAAAAAATCTAACCATATTTCTAATACAAAAATTTTAACCTATTAAAATAGTCAAAGAATAAAATAACTTACTAAAATAATTAATTTCTCAAACAAGGCCATAATAAAATTCTAATTGAGGTAACCATCTTTATTTGACCTTGGAGCAAAATATAATTTTTTCTTACTCTTTCAATTTTATGTAGATTTGAATAGAGAAATGGAAAAACATCTGTTTGGTGGGGTTCTAGAACTAACGTTCCAGAGTTTGATTTGAATATAGTAGTTGTTTATGATTTTGAAAACGCGATTCCACAATCACTTTTGAAAACGCGGTCGAAAACGAAAAAATTTGAACTAACCAGTTGTCCCACCGAACATCCCACCGGTCGTCTAGCTGGTTGACCGAAGCAGTGCAATTTTTTTTTTTTTGGCAATTGACACTTGTCAATTTTTATATATTCAACAAAAAATATTTTCTGAATTTTTAAAAAATTTTTTTATGAGCTTCAATAGAATTTTGAATTGTGTGTTTGATTATGAGTTGTAAGTTTTTGTATCAAATATCATATATCACTTAAAAAATTTCCACTCAATTCAAAACTCTTTTCAAAACTCATTCACTAAACAAATTTTTTACACTTAAATCATAATTTCAAAACTTACAAACTCAAAATATAACTCTATTCTCAAATCATATTTAGAAAATTTTATTAAACGCAACCCTTTTTTTTTTTTTCTCCTCTAAATCTCTATTCAATTCATGATCTAAACACCACTTTAGTAATTGACATATATATATATATATATATACTGACATTGATGAGTACTGAAGGTTGAAGTGAAAGAAATAAGAGAGAAAGAAGAAACAAAGAGAAACGAGCAGTTTGTGAACGAAGAGGATGAGATGAGTAAGAGAAAGATCAAAGCAAAGCAAATCTACAGGTGCAACAGGCAAGGTGGGTGCTTCTTGTCATGGAGGAGTTTGTGGATCAAAAAAAGTCAAAAAGATAAACACAAACCAAGAAACAACAACAGCAACAACAATGTCTACTTCATTCACCATTTTAATGGTTGCTATAGCTAAGGCTGGCTCTCCATATCTTCCTAGATATATCCACTTCTATGTATATTTTGATAATGAAGAAGTCTTTGACCCTAACTTTGGTGAAAACGAAATAAAACTTTGAATATGTGCGATCACATGCTAGCTTTACATATCCAACATAGCCATTTTTGAAATGTGTAAGGATCCTTTAGAGTGATATGGTGAAGTGATTTTTTAGGGCTTGACACATGCCCCGCCCATAAAATTAAAGGTTGAGATTACTTTGGTGAGGGAAAAAAAATTCTCCGTTTCGTGAGTTCTAAAGCGACTGAAGAGAGGGAGAGGGGGAGAGAGAGAGAGAGAGAGAAAAGAGTGACTGAGGAAGAAGATCATGGCGTCGCCCATTGCCTGCCACTCGTCGCCGACGAAGTCGAGTCACCCGCTGCCACCGCCGAAGATAGCTTCTTGTTTCTTCTTGTCTCCTCCACCTCCCTTCCCTTCCATTCTCTCTCTCTCTCTCTCTCTCTCTATATATATATATATATATATGTATATCATAAACATCATGTATATCTCTGTTTGAATTTTTTGGATTTTTTTTTTTGGTTATTAATGTAGGACAAGATTTTCAAGACAAGATTTTAAGAATTTTTGTATTTTTAGTTTTAATACTTTTGATAAATTATTTTATTAGGATTCTTGTAATTTAGTATAAATAATTTAGAATTATTAGATTTCTTTGTTTTATTATTTTGGAATTAGATTTTGACTAGGATTTTAAATAGTTTAGAATTCTAGTTTCCTATTCTCTTAGGTTTTCTAATTTGTATTGATTTAAGTTTTCTATTTTATCTTAGAATTACTTTTCCTACAAGTGTTAGGTTTAGTTTATTATAAATAGCTATGTAAACCTCATGGCAAAGACAACTTTTATTCATTCAATCAATAATATTATGATATTTTCTCTTCCTTGTGGACTCAAGGTTCTATTTTTCTCATGGATTCAAGAGTCTTTTTCGTCTACTAGAACGATATCTAATCTCCGTGTATTCCGCTGCGTCAAGTGGTATCAAAGTAAGGTTTCTCCTGGGTTGATGTCATTTATCGAAAGAGAAAGCACAAACTCTATTGACGATGATCGTAGAGAAAGATCTAATAGGATTCGAGTCAAGGGACTTACCCAAGGCCAACCTGTTAGTCACAACATTAATAGAAACCGTACTATGGGATTTGCTCAAGACCAGCCTATTAACCACAATGTCTTGAGACGATCTTCTTGTTATCAATATGATAGTGAGGATGAATCTGAAGATGAGTTATTTGAAGATTATGGTGGATACCAGTCCGTAAGGCGACAACGAAGATTCAGTGATGTGTTCAATAGCAATAATTACATCAATCACGACTTTTCAAATTATCAAGTACCACTAGAAATTCCATATTTTAATGCTTCTTATCATGCCAAGGATTTTATTTATTGGTTTCGCAAAGTTGACAAATTCTTTGAGTGTATGGAAATCTCTGAAGAAAAGCAAACCAAATATGTCGCACGTAAGTTACAAGGTTATGTTTCTACATGGTGGAAAAAATTGCAGTATGGTCGAGGGCAACAATACAAACAACCCATTAGGACATGGCATAAGATGAAGAAGTTGATGAGTTCTAGATTCCTTCAATCAAATCATGGGAAAATATTGTATCAACAATATCAAAGAAAGTTTGAATCCAAACAATTGTTCCAAGGTAATTCTGATTCACAATATTCTTCGCAACTCAATAATTATTATGCAATTGTGGATACAGATTATTCGAGAAACATGACTATGGCTCTGCCAAGTTTGGGTCAATCAAGTCTTGTAGGTCAACAAATTTGTCATGCTCAACCACACATTGAAGAATAAAAGGTTTTGAATATCTCAATGTTTCAAAATTTTGAAGACCCAAACAGACATTCAATTGAAGTAGATAATCAAGTTGATTTCAAAAATGGTGAGAGTATTGAAATTGATGAAAGAAAGGTCACTGAAATTATTTTGATCAAGAAGTTTAAAGAAGACAATGAAGAGGTGAAGCAAGAGTAAAAGGTTGAAGTTAGCCAAGAGCATCTAATGACGGAACTATCATCTTTTGATTATTATGATAGTTATGAGATCGCAAAAGAAGAAGATCTAGTTGAACTCAATGAAAAAGAAGAAATAAAAGATGAGGTAAAAAAGTTGACATGTGCACCAGAGAAGTTGATTGAGGATGCAATTGATGTTCGAAAGATGATAATTGAATGTCCAACTGAATCTAAGACAAAGAAAAGTCTTGAGAGTATTCAACATCAACATAAAATACCCTTCGTTGATTTTCTTGGTGTTGAGAAATTTAATTTGATTTTTAATACTTGTCTAATTGATCTTGTCAACCAGTTGAAGCATATAGAGAATAACTTTCAGAAAGTAGACTTCTCTGCATATAATGTTCGGAAGAGGGACAAACAACTGAAGTATTCCAAGTATCTTTTTATTTGGGATGGACGATAGCAGATCTCTAATATGAACTCGAGGACGGGTTCTTTCAAAAAAGAGGAGTCTGATGTAGGACAAGATTTTCAAGACAAGATTTTAAGAATTTTTGTATTTTTAGTTTCAATATTTTTGATAAATTATTTTATTAGGATTCTTGTAATTAAGTATAAATAATTTAGAATTATTAGATTTCTTAATTTTATTATTTTGGAATTAGATTTTGACTAGGATTTTAAATAGTTTAGAATTCTAGTTTTCTATTCTTTTAGATTTTCTAATTTGTGTTGATTTAAGTTTCCTAGTTTATTTTAGAATTCCTTTTCCTACAATTATTAGGGTTAGTTTATTATAAATAGCTATGTAAGCCTCATAGCAAAGACAATTTTTATACAACTTTTATTCATTCAATCAATAATATTAAGATATTTTCTCTTCCTTGTGGATTCAAGGTTCTATTTTTCTCGTAGATTCGAGAGTCCCTTTCGTCTACTAGAACGATATCTATCCTCCGTGTATTCCGCTGCGTCAGTTATTTTATAATTTCATCTGTTGATTGATTTTCTGTTTTGGTTCCTTTTTTTGTGATAGATTTTTTTTATTAATCTAAAACCCAATTTTCTGAGTTGGGTATTAATTATGTTGAATTCATTTGTATTTATATTTTTGTTTTTGTTTTTGGGCAAGCATAAAGTTCCGTGAGTTACTGGGTGTCATTTTTTTTAACTTAAGTGGGTTTGCTTCATTCTTCTGTCTTCTATTTTAATTGATCGATTCTAGTTTTATTTTGTTTATTTGTTTTCTTAAGTTGTTTTGAAGTTTTGTTTGATTTAGTATATCTATCATGGGTTGATTTTTTGATCTGTCTTCAATGAATATATATAACAATATATATGTGAATATATAGAAGAGTATATATGTGAACTGTCTTTTGTCTTCAATGAGAGTGATTCTTCATCTTCTGTTAGAAGAGTATAGACGTGAATATATCAGAATATTTGGTGCTCTTCAAACAGGTAAAGGGTGTCTTAAAGAATAGCTTCAGCGGCAACAGCAACGGGGCGACGCGACTTCTTCCTCAACCGCTCTACTCTCTCTTCTTGTTTTTGTCTCTCCCCCCTTTTCAGTCACATTCGAAGTTGGAACTGATGAAATAAAGATACTTTCTTTTTTTTTTCCCCCTAATCAAAACCACGTCGTTTTATTGAAGGAGCAATCTCAACCTTTGATTTCATTAATGGACACGTGTCAAGCCCTAAAGAATCACTCTAGAGGATCAATTTACCATATCACTCTAGAGGATCCTTGCGCTTTTGAAATGGTTAATTCATTTTAAATCATATTACCTTTCATAATTTTTATATATTTCTTTTTTAAAAAATTAATAAATTAATTTTTAATCATTTTTTCAAAACACCCCAAATAATAACTTATTAAAACCTCGTAATCAAGTACTTGAAAACTTACCATTCAACTCAACCCTGACGGGTATTGATGATGACGTTGTTCTCTATCAGCGATGAATTGTTTGATGTTAAAATATTTTCGTATTTTCTGTCTTGTATTGTTGATGTTTATCGTTTTTTTTTGAATATAGATAATTGAATATATTATTACTCAATTTTAAGGGTAAATTATTAATTTGATAAAATATAAATTAATTTGATAAATATATATGTCAAAAAAATATTTTTAAATTTTTAAAAATTATTTTTATCTACCAAAGATAAAATTATGTAAAATTAATAAATCTTTTACCCATTTATTTATTTATTTACCAAGTTAGTCTATCTATCTATATCTATACTATATATTAAGCAAAAGGAAATTTTTAACTCACAAGCCTTGTGAGAGCTCCAATATCCTAATCCTAATTTTCTAATTTTTTGATTTAACAAAAAAAAAAAGAAAACCTCAGCATTTATTGTTTCTCCCAACCCAACCTCAACATTTATTAACTTCTCCCAACCCACAATCCCTTTTGACTTCTCTCATAATTACTGCAGCACCATTTTCAATTTCTCCCATATACTATGGTTATACACAAAAATAAAAAATAAAAAGATAAGAATTTAGCTATAGATCTAAAAAAAATATAACATCCAAATTTGAATTATGATTTAGTAATATAATTATGTATTTTTTTTATATATATCTATCAAAATTTTAAATCACTTAATGGGACAAATTAATCAATTTTCTAAAATTATAAATTTTTTAATTTACAAAATAGATTAAAAAAAATATTAACTAATTTATTTATTTAATAACAAAAATATTTCATAATCTCTCCCTCCTAATCTCTCTCACCAATTTCAAAAAAAAAAATTTTAAAACTTGCATTCGTTTTTTCTTCCCCAAAAAATCAGATAATATTTTTTATTAAAGTTATAGATATCTATCTGTATCTTATATATTATATTATAACATAAATAATAAAATTAAAAAAAAATCTTTAAAGCTTATCTAATAATTATAATAATTTTTTTTTTTAATTTATAAAGTTCCGTGCATAGCACGGGTTACCACTATCTATATATCTATCTATATATAAAGGAAAAAAAGGTTTTTAACCCTCAAGCCTTGTGAGAGCTCCAATCTTTTAATCTAAATTTCTTAATTTTTTGATTTAAAAAAAAACGTTAGCATTTATTAACTTCTCCCAACCCTCAAGTCTTACCATC